CCTGATGGTGGGCCCTGCTTCAAAGGAGGCCCCTGTGCCAGTGCCAAGGCCCTGCCCTGGTTACCCTGCACTGCTGGCCCAGTGCGACAGAGCTGGGTGATTCTCTGGGCCAGAGCTGGTCCCAAGGCCCTCCTCACCTGGCCTCTCTGATTGTTCTCCATTTGCCAACAGTCTTCCGTCCTGCAAGTCTCTCATTCTAGATGAATCTAAACCCTGGCCTCCAGCCCAGGTCGAATCCTGCTTCTTCCAAACTCTTTCCCTGACCTCCTCTGAAACAGGGGACAAGGACTTGGGCCTCAGTTGGAGATCTTTATTCCAAAGAGGGTATTTATCCGAAGAAGGGGAAGATCAGAGGGAGCCCCATGGGTGGACTAGGACCCCTGCATCCATACGAGGAGAGATTTTCTAACAGTTATTCAGAGATAGGGCACAGGGAGCCTTGAGAGGTGATGAGCTTCCTGTTCCCAGGGACATCATAGCAAAGGCTGAGTTAGAACTTGGCAGGGATAAACAGATCTCTTAATGCCTTAGCTCCTCAGTTCCTCTAAGGTCCTTCTAAGGGAGATGCTAAGTAACTGCATTGTATTAAAAATAACTTCACGCCTCGAAGCCTTGACCCTCCACTGTCTGATAACCCCCTAGGATCCAGGTCCTGGCTTATTCCTCTCCTGTGCCCCTGTGCAGGGCTGGGCACCCAGGAGGTCAGCAAGTGGGGCGCCTGGCCCTGGCCTCCTCAGCCTGCCCAGGCCTGGTTAGTTCTGCTCTGGCTCTCACGAGGCACCAGGTAGGCAGGAGCGGGTGGCTGGCTGACGAGCTTCTTCCTGAAAGAGGGGACATGCTGCTGGGAAGCTGAGCAGCTCCCTCATAGCCTTGTCTGTTCCTGACTCCATCACAAACAGCCAAGGTAAACGTGGGGCCACCCTATTGCTTCTGGCTCCAGGTTGCCCCTGGTTTATCTCAGCTGTATCCCAGTGGGCAGTCCAGAGGTCAGGTGGGGCCCAGGGGTGTCTTCTAGGGGCTTGGAGCTCATCTCGATGTCATCTCATTCAGCTGGACCTTTGCTGTCCCTCTTCAGGAGGGCACTCTTCCAGCTCAAGTTTCATCTATTTCAGGGACTCACACAGCTGGGCCTGCTGGTGGGATGGTTATTTTGGAGTTTGCTGGCTGCCTGCAGCTGCTCCTGGCCCACGGGGTGGAGGGGAAGGGGAGAGGACATATTTGGCTGGACACCGACCCTGGGGACTGGTGCCGTGTTTAGCAGTTTCCCAACAGCTCCCAGGACCTGGCTTCCAGCTTCAGCAGTATTTCGAGCAAGGCTAGACGGGTCACTTTCCTATCTCCTCCATCCCCTAATGCTCCTCCTTCCTTCTTTCTCTTCTTTGCCCTCTGGTCTCCACATGTGCGCTTCCTCTGGGCCTTTAGTCAGTGATTTCATTCAAATGAATATATTCCCAGTGCCCATCAGGATGGATGTAAAATCCTACATTAGGGTTCCAAAAGTTGATGGTCTGAGTACAGGTGGTTCTGACCTTGGCTAACAAACCCACCCGAATATCTGAAGTTCTCAGGGACCTTGTGGGTGTCAGGGGCTCCACTGGATCCTGATCCTGCAGATGTCACAAGGGAGGCAGCTGCACTCCTGCTCTCCAGTGAGCCCTGGTGGCTGCGGGAAGTTGCTCACTCCAAGCTACCAGCCAAGTGCTAGATCGGGCATTTAAACCCAGGCCTGGAATACCCCAGAACCTGTGCACTGGCTTCTGAACCACTTGACATGTAAACAATGGGTAACAGTGGCTCGTATTGACCTAATGACTCTTACGTGCCAGGTTTTCTACTAGGTGCCCAAGGACCTTATTCCATTTCATCTTCACATCGCCCTTCCTAAGGGCGGGATGAGAGTAACAGATTTTGTGTGAATCAGTAGACTCAGATATGACTGCTCAAGAAAAGGGGCCCCATGAAGTTAAGCTGCTTTTCCAAGGTCATGTGGCAATGTCATAAGGCAGTGGCAGTCAGGGTTTGAACCCAGGGTGATGATTTCAAACTCACTGCACTTGACTGTGTCCCTATTCTGCCTACCAGCATATGGATTTTGGTTACTGAGAAAGCCCAAAGTACTCTAAGGTTACATTATTAGATGTATCATCAGAGGTGATGGCCAAACTGTCCCTCGAAATGGTCCATGTGCATGTGGAATACTGAGTCTGTTCATTGTCTAATGAACAGAGGTGGAAGGTGAGTGGGCAGTCTGCGTATTCCCTGAGGAGAGGTGTCTGACAGGCCTGGAGGTACTGGATTAGATACCAAGAGGTAGATTTTGTTTAAGAGAAGGAAACACATTCTTAAAGGCAGATTAGCTCAGGTGAGAACAGGTTGCCTGTGAGGGCGAGGAAATCTGGTAGTAGGTGATTTCAAGTAGAGGACTCCTGAGGGGACAGAGAGACCAGGATAGCTCACGCCCAGCCCTGTCAGAATACAAGGCCTGTCTTGTTTATTTAACCCCTTCTGCAGAGGCAATGTCCCCAAATTTGGCTGGTGTCACAAGAAGCCACACTAGGGTCTTCCCAGCTTGCTCTTGGGGGATAGGCTGGGTAGTGCAGGGGTCCACATGCATTTGGGCCCAGCGGACAGCTGAGTTCCTGAAGGCTCTGGCTGGGCATCTCGAAAGACTAGATTCCCCTTCTCCCTACTGCTCCCTCCCTTCCCCTTCTCCATTTCTCTGGAGTCCCCAAGGGCCAGTTCCTGGAACCCCTGGGAGGCCAGGGAGCAGGGACTGTTCCCAGGAACAGGTCAGCCACAAGCCTTCCCTGCTTCCCGCCTCTGTCCCCCAGGCCTCCCCTCCTGTGAGGCCCTCCACTCTCCACGCAGCCCCCAGCCTCTGTGCCTTTGCTGTCACAGAGTCAATTCCCCGGAATAATCGCGTTTTCCAGTTGGCTCCCTCCTTCTCGCCAACACGATGCTGGGAAACCCTAACCAGCCAGGCCCCAGGAGGCCTCTGCAGAGTGGCAGGAGACCTGGGGGTGGGAGCAGCACCCCAACCTCACAGGCCCCAGATAACATGGTTCCTGGAAGGGCCGCGGAGGCAGGAGAACAAAGCCACGGAGGCTTTGGAGACTGGCTCTGTGCTCAGCTGGAGCTGAACTCTGGTCTCTGCTGTCCCTACCACATCAGTCCCCCAAGCTTCCCTGTCATGGCAGAGCACACAGCTGCCCTCGTCCAGTTCTTGAAGAGAAAGCACAGAGAGGCATTGATCCATGGTGTGGCTTCCAGTGGCACCAACCAAATTTGGGGACATCAACTCCATTGAAAGAGTTCAGTCAGGAGGCCTAGGAAGTGACGAGTATGGCGTGGGGTGGGAGTTGGGCAGAGCTGGCTTTAATCTTGGATCAACCGCTTGGTGGCTGTCATACAACATCCCTGAGCTTTATCTGTAAAGTGGGCCCCCCTCTGTGGGCTGCTTTAAAAGTGAAATGGATTCATGGCACATGGTGATTACTTTCCTTATAAGTTTATGACTCCATAAAGCAGGCTATTAAAAGCCATTAAAAGAATATGGCATTGGATCTGGGCACTGGTGGTGCATGCCTGTGATCCCACCAACTTGTGAGACAGGCAGGAGGATCATGGGTTTGAGGTAAGCCTGGGCAATTGAGCAAGATTCTGTCTCAAAATAAAAAGGGATGAGCATGTAGTCCAGTGGTAAAACACCCCTGGGCTTAGTCCCCAGTATTGGAGGGGAAAAAAGAAAAAGAAAAGAAAAGACTATAATGTTGGAAACAGTTACAGTTGTGAAAAAGAAAATTCATAGTGCAGGGTTCTTAGCCTTCAGGATATTCACAGGTATCCTGAAGTTATCCACAGAATTTAGTGAAAATGTGTGTATTTTTCTGGGGAGATAGGTCAAAGTTATGATAACATTTTCAAAGTGATTTGCTAACCAGAAAAGGTTGAAAACTTCTAGTGTTTATATAGCATAACTCAATTTTTGCATTAGGACAGTAACCAAAAAAAAAATTTTTTTTTAATTGCTTATACTAGGGATTGAACTCAGGGGCACTCAACCACTGAGCCACATCCCCAGCCCTATTTTGTATTTTATTTAGAGACAGGGTCTCACTGAATTGTTTAGTGCCTGGTTTTTACTGAGGTTGGTTTGAACTCTCAATCCTCCTGCCTCAGCCTCCCAAGCTGAGGGAATTACAGGCATGACTGTGCTCTGCTCCCCATTTTTTTTTTAAAGGCTGGGAGAGCATGATCCAGATGTTTAAAGTGCTCTTCTCTGGGTGGAGGGCCAGCAGATGGTTATTTTTCTTTCTGCTGAACTGTATTTTCTACAAACCTTATTTCTATAAAATAATTTGTATGACTTGTCTGATTAAAGAGAAAGGGTTTGACTCTCAGTTAAATCATTCTCAAAGGGCTTTCTTGGATGAATGGACTCAACTTTTTCTTCAGTCTTGGTGTGCTTATGTGGCATGGTAATCTCAAAAGACAAGTGTTATGATCAGATGATTCAGTTTCTGCAAAGGAGTCGGGGAGGGGTTCCCTCTGGCCCCCCAGTGTGTTAGAATGTCATCAGTGCATTCAGTAAGACAAATATTTGTTTGCCTACTAAGTGCTGCGCTCAGCTCTAGATGCTGGGATACAGAAGGGATACATTTACGAAAAGGGTCCTACCCGCTGACTGTAGGCAGTAAGGAAAATACATTACCAAGAGCGCAACCAGCAATTTTAAGCATTTAGAAGCAACCATACGGTCCTGACGTTGGTGTCTTCCCTTCCAGCCTCCTTCTTTGGCTAGACAGATTGCTGTGCAACCTTGCTCCCTGATTTTGCTCACTAATTTATGTCATAAGCATTTTCCATCCCATTAAGCATTCAGTAAGTGTTTCAGTGGTGCAGACTTGAAACACAGCAAGATTCAGGCCGCGGGGGCCTCCCCCGCGGGCCGCGACGGCCTAGGGTGACGGTCGCCCGGTCTCCCGCTCTCTCCGCTGCAGACAGCGAGCTGGTGCTGCCTGATTGCCTGCGGCCGCGCTCCTTCACCGCCCTGCGGCGGCCGTCACTGCGGCGCGAGACCGACGAGGCGCGCCTCTCGGTGAGCCTGTGTGACCTCAACGTGCCGGGCGGCGACGGCGACGACGGCACGCCGGCCGCTGGTTGCCCGATCCCGCAGAACTCGCTCAACTCGCAGCACAGCCGCGCGCTCCCCGCGCAGCTCGACGGCGACCTGCGCTTCCACCCGCTGCGCGCCGGCGCTCACGTCCGCATTCTGGACGAGCAGACGGTGGCGCGCCTGGAGCACGGGCGCGACGAGCGCGCGCTTGTCTTCACCAGCCGGCCGGTGCGCGTGGCCGAGACCATCTTCATCAAGGTCACGCGCTCGGGCGGCGCGCGGCCCGGCGCGCTCTCCGTTGGTGTCACCACGTGCGACCCTAGCACACTGCGGCCAGCCGACTTGCCCTTCAGCCCCGAGGCCCTGGTGGACCGCAAGGAGTTCTGGGCCGTCTGCCGCGTGCCAGGGCCACTGCACAGCGGCGACATCCTGGGGCTGGTGGTGAATGCCGACGGAGAGCTGCACCTCAGCCACAATGGTGTGGCCGCTGGCATGCAGCTGTGCGTGGACGCCTCGCAGCCTCTCTGGATGCTCTTTGGCCTGCATGGGGCCATCACGCAGGTCCGCATCCTCGGTGAGTGCTGGGGCGTGGGTCCTCCTTGGTGTGGGGGCGATATGGGAATAAAGATCCCTGCCTTTAAGGATGGTCACGGGTCTAAATGAAAGTTTGGTATGTCAGTAGCCAGGTGTCTCAGCAGGGTGGTGCCTGGGTTGAGGGGTTAGAGGAACACCTGAGCAGGTGGCCTTGGGGAAAATGGGGTTGCAGAGTTTTAGGTTTGCCTTTTCTGGGGGGAGGGACACAGTTTGAATGGGCTGCAGAATGTGAATTTGTGTAAGCCATGTTTCCCAGATAGTTCTATAAGGTGTTAATAGGTACTCTTTGAAAAGGGGTCCTTGTGGTTAAAAGGTTTGGGAAACATGGAGTTTAAAAAGGGGAGTGGGATGAGTGTTTCTTGCAGGACTTCTCAGAGCCTTTAATACATGGTGAGAATCTTAAGTTGATGATGGTTATAGTGTACAGTTTTTCCAAACTAATTTGATCAGAATTTTTTTCCTTTTTCTCCACAAAGCGTCTCCTTGGACCTCTGTTACCCCAGAGGGAGCAGTTGTGGTCTGCTAACCAGCTTTCCATTACACTGGGCTGTCTCGTTAGCCTCACCTGGAGAGCCTAGTAAAGGGAAGATTCTTGGATCCCTCCTCCAGAGATTGCTATTCTGTAGATCTTGGATAGGTTCCTGGCATCTGTTTTCTTTCTTTTTTTGTTCAGTGCTGGGGATGGAACTCCAGCCTGGCACATGCTGGGCAAGCACTTTACCACTGAGCTACATCCCCAGCCCTGATCTCCAACCCTGCCTCCCCTCCACAAAGCAAGTAGGCTTTGCCAAGTTTGGAGCCTTCTGGGCCTCACAGCCCCAGCAGGCTTGATAGTTTGAATTGTGTGTGTAAATGTGTGAGTCCGAGCTGCTCTGAGCTTGGCATCCTGGGTCGAGGCCGTGTGAGTAACTAAATGCGTGCATGGTTGTGTGTGTGCTGCTGTTGGTGATTGCAAGAGTGGAGAGCCTGTGAAATCAGATAAAGTCAGTGGGCCTCCCAACTCTGGAAAGAGCAAATAAAGGGGAAATGAAAAATAAATAAATAATGAATGAAAAGAAACGAGGCTAGGGTGCTAAGAAGTTAGAGCTGCGGGAAGATGTAAATCAGGAAGGAATGAAAGATTAGATGAAAAGAAACCAGATAGAAGGAAGATGAATCAGGCTAGGGTGGGAATTCAGGATGGAATAAAAAGAAATGGATAGGGGAGAAAAAACCTTCAAGCTGAGATGAAGAGATACTGAGCTGCACTCACCAGGAGACACTGCTTCTCAGAGAAATAAAATTACATAAGGGCAAGGTACTCTCTTGCGTCAGCACCATCTAATAATAGATAAGTAGCTTTCCAGTAAGGCTGTGCTGCCCAAAGAGGCTTACGAGACTGGAGCAAAGGGGAAGTAAAAACAATAAAATGAGGACTTTCCTGTGCCAAGGATAAGCGAGCCGAGGTGGATGTAGAAGAGTAACCATCCAGAATTCACCGTCTGTTAAACAGAGTGCTCCAAGCTGTTTGGAGAATTGGACATCTCATCCAGCAAATTGGTGGTGTGAGACACTCACTTGACTCCAAAGGAAAACCCAATCCGTGGCCGTGTAGGAAGGGACACTGTTGATCTTACAGAGGAAAGTTTGGCTTTGTGGAAGGCCTCTGTAAACTTAAGAATGGAAGACTTTTTCCTTCACTCATGAGCACCGCCAGACCTGCAGCCAATTTCATACTTATCGTCAGAACATTAGAAATATTCTCATTAAACATAGGAATATAGCCAGGCGTGGTGGTGCCCGTCTGTAATCCCAGTGGCTAGGGAGGCTGAGGGAAGAGGATCACAAGTTCAAAACCAGCCTCAGCAACTTAGCAAAGCCCTAAGCAACTCAGAACCTGTGGTTAAGCATCCCCTGCGTTCACTCCCTAGTATAAAAAACAATAATAGGAATATAAGTAGAGATGCCTTAGAAACATTGTTCTAGAAATGCTAGCCAGTGTGATAAGACAAGGAAAGTAAACAGGTGTGCGTTTCTGATGGGACATGACAATGGACTTAAAAAGATATCAATCAACACAGTAAGAGAAGCGCTCTGGACATTTATTGAATTTGCTTAGGAATAATAACACTATTGAGTTAGAGCTAATAATAAAAAGCCCCCTTGAGCCCCTGACTGTGTGCAGGGATTCTGTTTGGGTCTTGGGAGAGCCACAGGTGGATGATGGTTCTTGTTCTAAGAAAGCTTGTGGTTCAACTGGAGAAATAGAGCTGGATTCCTGGCAAAGAATGGATAATATCCCTGGCCTGTGGTGGTTCTGTCTGTATCTGTAGTGGGTGTGGGGTTGGTCATGGCTGGATGGACCAGTGTGGTTTTGGGGAGTTGAGGCTGTCCAGAGAAAAGGGGATTGAGGGCGGCTCCACTAGGCTGCTTGGGCAGTTAGCTCTTTAAGGACAAGGGCTCTGTCTGCAGCTTGTGTAGACAATGCCTGGTCCCTGTAGGCCCTCGGAAAGGATTAGTTGAAGGAAGGAGGGAGGGAAGGAGGGGAAGAAGGGGATAGGAGAGAGGACAAGGGGAGATAAGGGGGGGAGAATGCAAGACTAGGACACATGGGAGGAGGTGAGGTGTTGGCTGCATCAGTGCCGAAGAGGTGACATCTGGGAATGGTGGGAAGAGGACAGGGGCTCTAAACAGGAGGTGCGGCAAGGGGCAAGGAAGGTGGGACTTCATTGTTTGGACTGGAGACCTTGGGCTGAGGTGGGACTCCACGGAGACCTGGGAGCCCACGCTGGGGCAGGCCCCAGCCTTCTTGCTTCAGGCCAGGTGGTGAGTGCAGCCCCCTGTCCCTGCCGCCCTCACTGCAGGCTCCACCATCCTGGCCGACAGAGGCATCCCATCGCTCCCCTGCTCCCCGGCCTCCACACCAACCTCACCCAGTGTCCTGGGCAGCCGCCTGTCTGACCCCCTGCTCAGCGCGTGCAGCTCTGGCCCTCAGGGCAGCTCTGCGGGTGGTAAGTAGAGTCCCCTGTGCTGTGTCAGACTGTCACCCCTGAGGGCTCCTGCTGAGGCAGGGGTGCAGCTGCTGTCAGGCTGGGGGTGAAGAGGAGCTGGACTTGTGGGGTGGTGACTTCCGGGGTGTCTCTCTCCTGTCCCCAGTGGGCAGTTTTTTCCAAAAAAAAAATTTTTTTTTAAGGACACAGGGAATGCCAAAGGGTAGCTCAGGAGGGATCTGCCTTAGATTTGGGGCCCCTTCCCTTCACCATGCCTCCTTCTTTCCCTCCCTGCTGCTCATGGCTTCCCTGGCCCCTGATCTGGGGGCTGAGTGGAGTGGTTCAGAAGTGGGGCTGCCCTGCGTTCAGTGTCATCCCTTGGGCAGGAAGTTGCGTTGTTGGGGTGAACAGGCAGGTCTCCGTAAATGGATTGGGGTGCAAGAGGCCAGGGGCCCCCTTCCCGTGAACCCTGGGCTAGGCATACCGGGTGGAGGCCGTGTGAGTAACTGAGTGCGTGCATGGCTGTGTGTGTGCTGCTGTTGGGGACTGCAGGAGTGGAGAGCCTGAGAAATCAGGGGACCCAGCCACATCTGCTCCTGACCGGTGCCCTCTGTGTCCAGGGACAGCCCCCAACTCACCGGTGAGCCTGCCTGAGTCTCCAGTGACCCCGGGCGTGGGCCAGTGGAGTGACGAGTGCACGATCTGCTATGAGCACGCGGTGGACACGGTCATCTACACGTGCGGTCACATGTGCCTGTGCTACGCCTGCGGCCTGCGCCTCAAGAAGGCCCTGCACGCCTGCTGCCCCATCTGCCGCCGCCCCATCAAGGACATCATCAAGACCTACCGCAGCGCCTAGCCCCGCGGGCCCCTCTGTAGACATCAGCCGGCTGCTGCTGAGGGCCAAGCCCAGGGCCGCTTCTCTTCCTCATCCTCCTCCATTAGACGCAGGAACCCGAGGCTCCTGAAGGCTTGGGCACGGAGCAGGTCTGAGGCAGGAAGGCGGCGGCAGAAGCACATCACTGGGCAGAGAGGGGAGAAGGCCACACTCCCCAGTCTTTCCCTTCTTTGCATCAGTTCTTCCCTGCATGACGAGGGGCTAAACTGAGGTCAGCCTGTCCTACACCTTCCCAATCTGGGGCAGATTCTAGGAGGTCCCTGTAGCCCATGTGGCACCTTGGTGAGAATTAAAAAGTGTGGATCTTCAAATGGACAGATGCTGCCCTAAGCCAGGGCATGTGGCTGGGTCAGTGGAGTAGGGACTGGATTTTAGCCTCCATTTTCTCCATTAGCCAGTGACTCTTGAGCAGTGCACAACCTGCTCAACAGCAGCCCACAATGGGCGGCTCCTGAGTTGCTCACTCTGATCTGGACCCACCTTCTCTTTCCCCTCTTCCCTGCCGATTGGGACTGGCAGCAGGGGACAAGAAGGCCAGTTAACTCTTCTTACCCCAGGCTGTGGAGGGCTCTAGGTTCTGGATCCCTGGCCCTTCTGGGCTGAAAGGACTCCTTCCTAGCCATGGTTCTGTCCCATTCATCTCGCCCTTGCCTTTGTGCAGGAGTGCCCTTTGGTATGGGGTGGGGACAGGTATGTCTTTGGTGAAGGTCTCTAAGCACAGGTCTTCAGCTGCCCCCACCCCCGCCTGTCCTCCCGCATCTCAGTGCTGGCCTGGGCCCAGGACGATCTCAGAGGCTGTACTGTGCCAAGGAAGGGCCGTGGCTCCTGGTGAAGGTGGGGGGTCCCTAACGATGACCAGCCTTTCCCCTTATTTTAATTTATTTATTTATTTGGTTGGTGGGTTTTATTGGTTTGTGGGTGAGTTCCCATCTCCTGAGCCCCTAGAAATGCCGTCCTGTATATGGGTGCTGGTGCGGGGACAGTAGTGGTCATCATCTCTCAGATCTTCCCCGGGCCCCGTCTGGGAAGCTCACGGCCAGCCTAAGTGGGAACTCCATCTAAAAGGGCCAAACTGGGCCACTTCCTGGCCAACGGTGTCCATTTTGTAGAGAGGCACACTGAACCTCCACAGTGCCCCGGGGCTGGTAGGTCACCCAGCACCATGAAGTGCCCTTCCTTCCCGAGCAGAAGCTGGGTTGTCATGGTTGGCTCTGGAATCGCAAATGGCCCAGGAGTCTCCTTTCCATAAGGACATCAAATGCTCCAAGAGGGCGCAGGCAGGGAGCCCAGCATGGGCCAGCGAAGGACCGGGGGACTCTTGTCATAGGAGGGCAGGGAACCTGCTCTGGGAGAGGCTGTCCACCCTGGAGCAAGGTCCTGGCTCCTGCCCTACCTGTTCTGAGGTTGTGGTCACCTCAGCCCTGGCCACCTGTTCTGGGCTGGGCCAGTGCAGTCTTGGCCTAGCCCCCCTGCTTCCCAGCCTCCAGTCATCAGGTGACTCTGGTGTACCCTCAGAGATAGCCTCTCCCTTGACCGGCAGAGCCTGGGGCTCTAGCCCTGGCCAGGCGGCTGCCCTGAGCCTCAGCTTCCTGTGTGAGGTGGCTGTTTGGGGGGGCAGAGTTTCTGTATGGCTCTTGGGAGTTCTCTGTGGGGTATTGCCAAGAGGTGGTGTGATGGAAGCGTGGGACAGGACTCTTGGCCAGACAGGCACCTGCACTGGACTTACAGGCACCTTGGGGAAGTCCCTGGACCACTCTGGGTCTTGCCTTGCCGGACCCTGCCTCTCAGACCTGCGGCAGGAGTGGGCTGGGACAGGCACAGGTCCCAGAGGTGAAAGGGCCAAGCGCATGCAGGGGCTGCCCCACCGGGGGCTGGGGAGAAGCATCATCCACTGTTAGTGCAGGGGTAGCCGCTGCCTCACACCTTTGTGAACTCCCCCGTGGGGTCGCTGTGATTGTGAATAAAGGTGATTTCTACCAGCCCCAGGGCTCTGCTGTGCTGTGGAGGCTGAGGGGGAGGGCCCGTGTGTATGTGGGCATACACGTGGGTGGGTGGGGTTACCCAAAGTGTGGCCCTGGGAGAAAACAGTGGGCCTCTGAGGCCCCAAGGTGGCTGAGACAATCAGGCCGGGCTCCCAGGAGTTGTGGGCCAGAACAGTACCTGTGGCTTGTTCAGCAGGGGCCATGGTACCTGGCGAGCCCTGTAAGTTGGAAGCGAGAAGCCCTGGTTCTCCTGGTGGCCTCAGAAGCCTGGGTCTGTGGGAGCAGGGTGTGGTCCATGCAGTGGGAGCCCAGGAGGATGCTGGGCTTCTCAAGACTGAGCAGGCCCAACCTGGATAGGAGCCTGTGGGGTGGTGGCACCACCTAGGGGAAAGTGAGGGAATGACAGGTCCTCCTTCCAGGTGAGCAGGGTTGGCTGTGTCCTCCCTAAGCTCAGGCCTCTCCAGTGGCTGAAGCTCAAACTATTTTCTTATTGGTGGGTGCAGAGGCCTATACCACACTGGTGGTACAGCTGGGGAGAAAAGGAAAGTCACTAGACAGGGACCCCTGGAGGAACTTTCTAAGATATGCTAAGCACATCTGAGTAGCTGGAAGAGCTAGGGGCGGTAGGAAGACAGCCAAACTAACCCCAAGGTGTGGGCACACCACCTTGGAATTGCACTTCTTTGGCAGGGCCAGGCCTCAGAGGCACATGGGATATCTGGCCTCCCAGGCTCAGCCTGGTCTTGAACCCAGGACCATGCCGCCCTGCTTACTGCAGTTTAGTACAGTTAGGTGGGTTCAGGGGTTCAAGCTGAGGACCCAAGCTTGGCCACCCCTGAGGCACGGATGGGGCTGGGGAAATTTGTCTGATTCTCATAGTAGGGACATACATCCCCCTCCCGAGTCCTCTCAGAGGCCTGGGATTCTGGAGTCTGTGCTGAGTTTGGGATAGAGGGACCTCTGCTATCCAGCTGAGTGTGGGAGAATTAGGTGATTATGTACAGTTAAAAAGGTCAAAAAACTTTATTTAGTTTTTAGGGAAATACAAGATGCATGTAAACATAAACAAAATACAAAACAAAACAACCCAAATCTTACAGTCTAGAAGCATGCCAAGACAGCATCTCTGCAGACCGAAGAGTCCCGTCAAAGTGATAAAGGACACCTGGAAAATGGCAGGCCAAGGGGCTGAGTCCCTTCCCCAAGGACACTGCATTTTTGTGATGAGATAAAAAAAAAAAACTTCACTATTAAAAATATCAGAAACATGGAGATAGTTTAGCACCACCATGGATCCTGGGATGATCTGCACTCACCCTGACGGCACTGCACTTACTGCCCTTCTCTCCAGCTTCTCTGCTGAGGCGGAAGAGGGAAAAACCCAGAGGAAGGGGCTTCTCCCACTAAGAGCCCACTAAGGGCTGGGTGGGGTGAGAAGACACCACTAGGAGTTCCTTGCAATTCTGGAGCCCAGTGACACCCACCATTTCACTTCAGACCCTGGTTCCGGGATGGCCACTCCGTCATGCTGAGAAGTCACCTTCCTGTAGACCTGTCGGTACCTGGCAGGGATACCCATTCCCCATCTGGTATCCTGGATTTAAAGAAAACCTACTGCAGAGAACAGCTGTAAATGCAAGAATGGAATAAACTCTAAGAACAGTGTGCCCTAGCTAGAAGCCACTAAAAAATGGAAGAGCACATATCCACGGGTGGGTGTGTATCTCACCTGGTCTACTTCATACCAGGGAGGCCAACTCTGCAAATGGAACCACCCCCGGTGACCAACAGAGTGCCTTTGGAACAACTGGTATCAACAGAAAGATGAGTGAGGCCACCTTCCTCCCAGGTGGAGTCCAGTTTGGGATGGCAGATCCCTATTGCATGGCCTGTCATGGTCACTGTTCTGATTTGTAAAGTTTGAGACTGGCTCTGGAATAGGCAAAGGGTAGTGGACAGACTCAGATGGGAACCTGGGAAATGAACGTAACTCTCCTGGAAACAGCTTGCAGCACCCCTTCCCCACGAAGTCGATCAGTAACCATTCCCTGAGACCCAGCTTGTGACCCAGTGAACGGTAGTCTCCTTTGGCCAGCTTCTTCTATGGCTAGGTTTCGAAGACTGTCCCACCTCCAGCGCTGACTGGACCCTTGCGTGTTGGATCATGAAGCTTCCTGTCTACCTGCTTTCTCTCTTCTTCCTGAAACACTCACCATCCACCTCTTCCTCATTTCTAATACATAAAGACGAAAACAAACCTCCGAGCCCTCTTTCAGCCCTCCTACACCACCTTCTGTCTGGAAGATATCCTCTTTTGGAAGCTTCCTTCCCGGTGAAGGGACGGGAAGCCCCGGCCACCCCAAACGTGCACACACTCTTGCCAACGTGCCTCTCACTGGCTTCAACGTGCTCAACCAACCCTTCTGCTCTGAATCACTTCTCTCTCACACACACCTCTTGAGGCCTAGCCCATGGGCCAGGGTGGATCTGGGAGCAAGGCAGGGGCCTCCAGAACAGGGGACCCCACTCTCAAAGGCCACTCAGTTTTAGGACTGGGAAGGGAGAGGGTGCTGATTGTCAAGTGCAAACGTGAGATTTAGATGGGATAGGGGAAGGAGGACTGCATGCGAATCCTGGCCTTACAGGTAGGCTGGGATCAGGGCCTTGTAAGGTAAAGCCCTTGACCCAGTCTATAAGCACCATCCTGTGCCTTGTGGCCTGGGGATTCCAGGCATGTAGGACAAAGCTGGAGAGAAGTTAAAACTTGGGGCTCTTTCCCCTAAGGCTGTAAGTTACTGACCCTGTCCTCTCACTGGCTCTGATCATGGAGCTTGGGAACCACAGAGAAATATGGCACTGCCTCAGCGAGGAGATTTAGCCAAAAAGCTCGGTCAGGTCCAGGGGAGCCCTCCACGCTACTTTCCTGACATATTCAGCCGGTGTCCGCATGCGCAGGTCTTGCTGTGCACACTGAGAATCAGTTCTCACCCCGCCCACTCTGCCTGCCCTCAGAAATGAGAACCAAAGGGTCAGCAGTGCTTGTCTCAGGGAATCTCAGACTGATGACTCATAGGGTGAGAGGTGGGAGCCTGTAAGGTGACTCTCGTCTGCAGGTCGGTGACCTAATGGAACCACCTCAACACTTCCACACCCAGTGGTATCTCTTTTCCACATCTTCATTTGGAGCCTGGGACGATGGCCTAGGCTGCTTCTGCTAGACCTGATAACGCCAGTGTGAAGTTTCCAACTAAATAATAATATTATTACAAAAAAAAAAAAAGACACATTGCACTCTCCAGCCAAAAATTGTGTGTATGAATGACACACAGACTCGATGCCAGAAGCTGCGAGTCCCTTGGGACCTGCCCAATGCCAAGGACTTTTCAGTGGAGACAGCTTGCCCGGTGTTTTTTTTTTTTTTTTCTTTTTCTCTAACCCCATGTTATTAGTTCCAAGTGGGAAATTACCAACACTCACACGCACACATGCATGCACACATGTGTGCACACACACTCAACTCACAACCCTCAAAAAAGTGAGGGAATCGTAATTTTTTAGTGATGTGGACAGTTCTCTTTCTAGAGAGCTCTGCATCAAGATTCTCAAAGATGATTGGCTATGTGGATGTGTCATTCCAAGGGAGACTCACACAGGGGCTTGAGTCCTACTCTGGGCACAGAGATCCATGTCTGTACAGAAATTCACCAAATATGGGGTTGGAGCAGCAAATGTACAGTACTGGAGGTGGAGGGGACGAACCAGCAAGGGCATGCCTGCTGCCCTGAGGGGCAGAGCTCCTGGTCTGGACCCCAGGAGACTTCCCAGCCTGCCACTTTCTCTATCAGCACCAAAAAAGGAGGCATCTGGCTTGGTGCCTGTTGTGGGGGCATCTGTCTGCAGAGACCTAAGTAGACAAACCCCTCTGAGTCTTCTCCGAGAACTCCCGCAGACTGTCTGGGTGTGGAGCACAGGCAGGGCTTGCTGCTCAGGCTGAAATCGCTGAGATGAGTGGGCAGCTGGGCTCAGTGCCGGGCCCTGCTGCAGGTCTGCGGGAATTCCATCTCCCTGGGGTAGGCCTTGGTGCCCACACCCTCCAGATGGGTTTGGTTACATCTAGGTTTCCTGCCCATAAACTGAACTGAGGTTTCATAGTTTTAGAAAGATTCAGACTTACATCAAAAGGATCACAGCCCAAACATCAGGAGACTGGGGGCAGGGGGAATGGGGTAGAGGGCTGCTGGGAGGCATTTTTAGGACAGGTCTCTCTGAGCAGCTGGCTGGAAACAATGGAAATGAAAACAAGGAACAGTTCCTGGATGTCCTCACTCTGCTCTGGAGACTGGGCCCAGGAGGTCAAGAGCCCCCACGCCTCTTCCCTGAATCCCTTTCTTCTGGGTGGATGATACCCAATAGTAACGGGGGTTGCCCTCTGGTGGGGACCCCCTACCATCTTTCCAGGGAAGCAGGAGAGGGAGAGGGCTAAAACATCAAACCCCAAAGCCCACCTGTCAGTTCCACAGTTCTGATTCCTCCCAGCAGTCCCCCTCCAACTTTCTGCAGACTGGACCATGGGGTCTTTCTCCACCATGCCAATAAGCCCTGGCATCCCTCTTGGTAATATTGCACTTTTCCTGTCTCTCAGATTGTTTTCATTTCAATTGAGAATGCAAAGTATTTGAAAGGGGTAGGGGAAGTGAGTAACCTTAAAGAAATAATATATTAGTTAAATACAAAAACAGGAAAAGTAGGGGCTATTTCATTTTCCCCCCTTAAAAACAAAACTACCAAACCAAAATCTAAACTTAAATAGTTCTACGCCTACTCTGCAAGTACTAGTAATATGAAAATAACGTTGGATCGAAATTCCCTTGTCTTTTTTCCTTAAGATGATGAAAGTAGTAACATGCCTTACTGAGGAAAGCGATGGATACAAATGCCAGTAAAATATGCTGCTCTAACATCTGAAAGTGATTATAATGATTCTATATAATGCCTTCGTCAAGATGGAGAAGAGAGGAAGAGAGAAATCTTTGGAGCCAGGCGGGGGTTGGACAGGCTGAAGCCTGGCAAACAAAGCCCGCTGGGTGGAGGGGAACCCCAAGGCAGACGGCACACCTGCTGCTCAGGGGTGCCCCTTTCCAGCTTCCTCTTGAGCACAGAGGAGCCAGGCAACACGCCAGGCCTGCCGAGACAAAGAAGGACAAGGTGGGAGAGAGATGAAGACGTATTTTTTTTTCCCCTTGTAATAAAAGAAAAAGGTCTTTAAACTGAATAGAAAAACAAAGCACCAAAGGATGCAACTTCGGGCATTATATAAACCTCAATAATGACCGCAGAAGGGCTCATTATGGTTAAAGTTGCAGTATACAGCAATACAATGTCATTTCACATTTTCAATTGCAACTAATGGAAAACTAGGTTTGGACACTGCTGAGATTTCATTTTTCTTTCCTTTTAGTCCGATCTGGTTTTCCTCCTGGTGGGTCAGAACCCCAGGCCCCCTCCCTCCTCCGCTGCTGCTGGCAGTTTCCTCCAATGTCACAAAGCAGCTCAGTAGCTCTAGGGAAAGGCCCTCTTGCCCAGGGTAGGGCTAGGAGTCCAGGGGCACAAAGCTTGGCACCCCCTGGCCATATCTGAGAAGGACTGGCATGCACCCTTCTTACTTCAAGTATTAATATCCTTTGGGTTGCAGGGCTTCTGCTGTGCTGGGAGGCAGGGTCTGAAGGGGAGGGGTCAGGAGTGGGGTCTAGACGAGGGCGTGGCGATCCCTGTTCACTGCCCAAATCTACGTGATGTCACCAGGTGGCAGCATTTCCCACTTTTCCTGGATGCCTGAGCAACTCCCAGCCATCCTTGGGGCTGGATGTCACAATGTAAACATGACGACCACAGAATAAGCTATAATGGGGGCGGGAAGGACACAGGATTAATGCAGTGGGGAGTCTGCCATTAACTAGCTGTGTGATTTTGAGAAAGTCACTTCCTGTCCTTGGGCTGCAGTAACAGGAAGGGATGGGATGGAGCGACCTCCAGGGTCCCTTCCAGCCCTGCTTTTTAATGACTCTCTGGCTTCAGGGCACTGGCAATCAAGGAGAGGGGGTCCTTGAGGGGCTGGGGGACTGGTGGGTGGTAGAGAGCCTGACGGGGCAGATGCACACGTGGGGCAGGGGAGGCAGGCTCTGGGGAGCACTGTGGTTGGTCCAGTCCAACTGAGATGCTCTGTACTTGGCAGCCACCATGTGCTATGCTCCCTCCGGGCCTGGCCGGCGGTGTGCTAGTGATTCAACTGGCTCAGAGCGGACATCTGTGGAGCGAGGCCACGGGCCCTCCCCAGGAAGGCAGCTATGTGGAAGGTCCTTTAACCCGACAGACACTCTACTTTTAAATTTTATTTTAAATAATCATAAATTACTTTTTTTTCTTTTAATAAATATGTGCTGTTTAAAAATGAGAAAAGTATATACTGCATCTTTAAGTAATGCACTTTGCTCTCTGGGTTTCTTTCCATTCCACCTTAAAGTGCATTAATTAAAAAATAATGAACCACTTCTTTATCATTATTGTTCAAATAAGTAAAAATAATATTAATATGAAGACACTAATCCACTACCATTAGTACTGCAATCTAGCAGATTAACTCAACATCCTGCTCTATTTAATACTGTCCAGCAGAAGAAAATATCTAATTTTGATTTTAAACAAACTCACGAACAAAACAAAAGGAAACAAAACAATCTCACCACGGCCCTCTGACAAAGAACGCGAGCAGTTGGCTACAGCTGCCAGGATCAGAATGTGGCGAGGGGCGAGGGCTCGGGGATCCCAGGCAAGGCCTCTGGGATCCTGGAGGGTGGGGGAGAGGGTGAAGGCCTGCTCGGGGGAGCAGGTGAGGGCAGGGCTTCCCTCCTCTGTAGGAAACAACAGCCCTTAGTCTGGTGATTCTGGCAGCTCATTCGGTGGCTGTGAAGCCTGGTCTGTCTGAAATCAAAGGCACGTGCGGAAATCCACTCCCAACAAAGGGTGAGTCCTTGGAGAAGCTGGCTGGGCTTCTTTCTGGAGAGTCCCTCTGAGATATCAACAACGGAAAAACAACCCAAAGTTGACAGAAGACCTGCAGGAAATGTCACTCTCTTGCTTCTCTCTTCACTGGGGCACTGCCCCCGGGAAGACCAGACTGGCTCCAGGCACAGGGTCCTCCTTCTTCGCGAGCAACTGTGGCATTGCCAGTAGGCCAGAGGAGTGGCTGGTGGTGTCTGCTCCAGTCTGACCCAGGAGGCCCAGCTGGAGTCCCCTCCACCCAGGGTGGGGGCCACGGCTGCTTCTCCACAGTCTCTGTAAGGCTTTCGGCCCTGCCCCGGTGGGAGAACATACACAGAATGGCAGCCACCCAGCAGCCTGGGCGCTGCCTTCTCTCCAAAGGTCTGGCTCCTAACAACACCTTCCTCCCTCCCGGGGAGGGTTTTTGCCCCACCAAGGTTGGGCAGGAACCAGAAGGACAGTTTCTCTGTTTTGCCAAGACTGGGACCTGGGCTTACCTAGCCCCAAATCCCTCCGGCAAGTGCCGCGCAGGCAAAGTCCACACAGTGGAAACCAAACGAAACGACGTGGCTTATGGAGGGGAGAATGGGAAGCCAAATACAAAACACAACACTCCTCCACAGAGTACAACAGAAAAGCCCACCCTCCACCCCTTCTGTTCCCATGTGAGGCTGACCCCCCAGGGTGCCCAAACAACCCCTAAAATAAGACCCAAACCAAAGGCCTGACATATAAACCCCAAGTCAACAAACCTCTCCCGAAACATGCAAAGGAACTGCTCACCCAAAAATACCCAAGTAGTCTGTGCTGATGATGGAGAGCCTGATGGCTTCCCCTACCCTCTCTAAACTCCAGCACTGTGTCCTCCATGGGGTACCCCAAGGAGGGCGGACTCTCTTCTCAAGGCCAGGGCAATGACAGCTAAGAAGGTAGTTCTTGTGGCACATGGGAACTGTGTTTTCTTTAACTCCCAGACACTGATAGTGGCCTGGCCCCGAGAGAGACGTGAGCTCGCTCAGGAGACAACTCCAAGTCCCAGGGCCTGTGGGGTCTTCATATGCACCCAGCCATGGTGGGTGGTGGCAATCCCTGGGAAATAGCACAATCCACAAACACGGATAAGGACAATACAAAGGCTACCTCTGGTGGCAACATGGTAGCCACCAAAACAGCCCAACGGGCAGGATGCTGGAGGCCCCCCTATGACCACATCTTTTCCAGATTTGCAGCAAAGGCACAATTGGGGTTTCCCACATGGCCTGTCCCAAATGACATGTAGTCCATCAATGAAGTCACCAAAGTGCACACGTAGGTCTCAGCTTTCTCATCTCTGGGTTCCAGGTCATTCCCTCTGCTATTCAATGTATCCTCCCTTCCAGGCAACAGCTGGGAGGTGGGCCAGCTTTCAGGTCCCACATCTGCAGGGCTTAATGTTGTTCTTCCCCCACCCCCTCCCATTTTGTCCTTCCCCTTTGGTCTGCATGTCACTGCTCATCCAGTGGCGGGTACAGTGGCACAGAGGCTGGAGTGACCGCACAACCTTGGTTAGTTCTTTTTCTCCAGGTAGTTGGAGGGCACCCAGCCTTTGAAGGGCTTGACGTCATCCAGGATCTGGCAGTACCACCAGCCATTGGGGTTCCTCTCCAGTACCTCCATGGACACCCCCTCCTGGAAGCCTGCGGTCTCCTCGTCCCCCTCATAGTCTGCAATAGAGACGTACACATCTTTGAGGTTATTGTGGATGAACTGGGACCTCTCGATGGGCTTGGGGCGCACAGGGGACACAGGGATGCCATTGCGCTGTGTGGGCAGCAGGGGTGAGTCGGAGCCCTGGCTGGCGGCCCGCTCTGCCAGGCGACCCTTGGCCTCCGCGGCCGCTGGGCGTGCTGTGCTGAAGGAGGAGTTCCTGCGGACGCCTCTCAGGCTGTCGGTGGCTGTGAGTGACTCGTTCCTCCGCAGGGCGCAGGACAGGTTGTTGTCTTTGGGTGGTGGGGACACAAACACCGACTGGGGCCTGACTGCTACCTGTCGCACACCGTTTCTCATCTTCACCGCCACAGCACCTGGTGTCTTGCCAAAGCCTCCCGGGGGCTTGGAGGGGATAGGCGGTGTGGCCCTCTTGCTCTGGTTGACGGTGTTGAGCGCCTGCACCCGCCTCTCGATCTTCTCCAGGCTGTCTGACTTGCCCTCATTCTGCTTGCTCTTTAGCACATCCTGCTCTTTGCCAGGGGTGTTGGGCTGCTCGTTCTCATCGGGCACCAGGTAGTGGGAAGGGGCCCAGCCCTCCAGCTCCCCAAACCTCACATACCACCAGCCACTCTCCTGCTTCTCCAGCACCTGCACCTCCACGCCGGCAGGGAAACTGATCTCCGAGTCCTGGACCTTCTGGTAGGCGCTACATGTCACGTAGGAGGTGGCTGGCCCTTCCCACTCCTTCTTGGGGGTACACGGGAGAGCCGTGGCCGGGAGGGTGATGATGTCGGCTGAGCCTCTCCTGGCCCCCTCACTGGGCCCCTCGGAGGCTGTGTGTGGGGGCAGCTCTGAATCCTCACTCCTTGAGCCCTTGAGGCCCCCCCGGAGCTGGCCTGTGGGTCTCAGTTGGCGTCGTAAAGTGCTGATGTCCATCTTCTCTTGACTCTGTGACTCTGCCCGGTTCAGGAAGGGCTTAGGCCGGACAGATGGCTTGGCCCGGGCACAGGAGGTCATCCCAGCCCTCGTATCAGTGTCCTTCTTGGCCCCGACCTTGGGAGTGCCACGGATGCCTGCGTCCGAGGCAGAGCGGGGCTTCAGGTCACCACTGTTCTTTGACAGGGAGGAGGAAGAGGAGGAAGAGGAGGAGCAGGTGGTGTTGATGGTGATGGACGAGGAAAAGGAGGCCGAGGAGTGGTTCTTCCCCAGTTCTGCCTGGGCGTTCTTCTCTGCCTTGAGCTTTAGGAGCGATGATGACTTTGGGGAGCCTGACTTGGGCGAGTTTTTCCTGGCAAGGGACAGTGAGGAGCCACCTGGGGAGTCACTGTCCCCAGAGGAGCCTCTGGTCGACAGGGTGTCCTCTGCATATGGCCGGAAGCCCTCATTCTCATAGATGGTCTCCTCTTCCAGGGCCACATCTTCTGAAGACTCGCCCACCTTGAAGCGGGCCCGCTGCAGGGAGGAGGCAGGTGAGGGTCTACGGGGCTGGGCAGGCTTCCGGTCTCCGGAGCCTCTGTCCTCTGTGGGCTCCTCATTCAGCTCCGGCTCGGAGTCAAAGCCAAAGGCGGGGATGTCATACTCGGGCTCCTCGTACTTGAGCTTCAGTGGGGAATCCTGGCTCTCGTTGGTACCCACAGGACCCTCCTCGGTCTCCTTGGGCTTGCTGGGGGGTGCTGGCGGCGGGACCTTGGGCCGTGTCAATGTGCTCGTGCGGCGGCTCAGGTTGGGCTTCTTGCGCTTATCGATGTAGGACGCGGGGGCCCAGCCCTCCTTCTCACCGATCTGCACGTACCACCAGCCGCCTGAGTTCTTGTCGATGACCTGGGAGGAAGAGGTGGCAGGCCAGTGAGCTGAGAGGGTCTCTGGAACCTTGTGGTGTCCCGGGTGAGGGGCCTCACACTGGGCTCCATCACCTCCGCTTTGCAGATGGGAAACTGAGCCCTTGAGAAAGTGGCCCAAGACCCACTGCACTAAATGACAGATCAGAATTTAAACCCTGCCTCTAACATCTCCTGGTTGAGGGGTTTCTACTGTCCCCTAACCTTCCAAGTCTGTATTGAGCTGGCCTCCTCTACAGAAATCTCCTCCACTTCCCCTAAACCATCACGCTGTTCCCAGTCCCTACAAAGCCCTACTTGCCAAGGAACCAGATGTACAAAGAATCACCACCATTCCACTACCCAGTCCTCCTCCCACCCCAATATGCCTAGGTCCTCCCTGGGAGGCCCTTGAAAGGGTGTCTCAGGGAAGTCATGGATGGATTGAAATGGGACATACAGGCCGAAGCCAGAGCCTCTTGGCAAAACATCTCCCAGGGTCCCCTGACGACTGTCATCTCACTGTAGAATCCTACTGAAGTTCCATGACCTGAGACGTCTTTGGGTTGAATGCCTTCCTGTAGAAAGGGTGAGGGGCTTTTATTCAATCATTTCCATGTTATTATAAACTAGTTCAAGGAGCTTCCTCCTTGACTTCTAAGATGGGCTAATGACCAGAATGAGCTGCTGGTTGTGCTGGGGTTCATTTGAACTGGGGAATGTAAAGGGAAGACAAGTTGGGATTGTGGGACACTTGTGGAGGGAAAGGTCCCAAGGAAGACTTCTGGGGCTGGGGAGCATGAAAACACTGGCACCATGGAGTGGGGGAAGGAAAGAAGAGAGGGAGAGTGGAGAATGACAAATCGAGCTCTCTGGAGACCCTGCCTCTGCAGCCCCACCAAACCTACATTCTAAGTTTGTAGGCTTTTCTGGAAACTCTAGAACTAGAGAGAATGAGTTCTCTTGAAAATAGTTCCAAGTTCCAGACACGTGGTTGAAAACATTCATGCTGGGGTGTCGGCTCTGCAGCCGGCAGAGGAAGCCCAGTGAATCTGACAGCTTCTGACACATGTCTCTCGGATTTAACTGCATGGCCATACAAAGCTACTCCAGAGAAGCGAACCAGTCACAATCTTCTCTGTCCCCTGGAACACCACGCTCAGCAATAAAACATGAAGTACAGTCGTTTTCCCTTAGCCAAGGTTTTGTGTTCCAAGGATGCCATTACCTGTGGTCCATTAACTGGAAAATTCCAGAAATATACAATTCATAAGTTTTAAGTAACTTTTATTATGGTATATTGTTTTAATTGTCGTATTTTATTAGTTGGTATTGTTGATCTCTTACTCTGCCTAATTTATATGTTCAGCTTTATCACGACTGTGACTATACAGGAAAAAATGGTATATGTTGGGTTTGATACTGTCCATGGTTGCAGCCATCCACTGGAGTCTTGTAAGGTTTCCCAGGTGTGTGTGGTGTGTGGGTGTGTGGGTGTGTGGGTGTGTAGATTGTTTAATGCTAGGAGGCCTGTTGTGGTGTGGGGGGGTACACATCAGGGTCTCATACCCCTTTTAGAGACAATTACTCAAAACCTGGGGGGAAAGAAGTGACAGCATCAAAGGCCAGAGGTCCTGTGGTGCAGATGTGGCCACACTGGGGCTTCAGTATGTTGTTACTGCACCGGCCTGGACCACAGTCTCCCAACAACAGCACTGGGCGATGTGGGTTCTGTGGGGTGCAGGCCCCTGCAGTGCTCCTGGGAGGGAAAGGCTGTGGGGACAAACAGCAGGCCCAGCAATACCACTATGATAGACTGGGTGCCACCCTATCCTAGGCTCTGAGAAGCCCTGCCATCATAAAAACAAAATGAGTTGGATCTTATTTAATCCCTGTCCTTGGAGCTTGTGTGCTCATGGCAGCCTTTTGTTTTGAGGCATCCATTCTCAGCTCCCACCCATGCTCTGGCACCATGAGTGCGCACAGGTGGAGGCACACATCCGGGTTTCTAGTCCCTACTGTGGCCCTGACCAGCTTTAGGCAAGTGCTCTTCACTGTGGGGCATGTTTCTGTACCATCCCTTCTTGTCCCAGGAACCTTGCTAGCAAGACATAAAATGGGAAATGCAGGCCTTGTCCACAATGAGTGAAACCCTCAGCAGCGTCGGGGCCAAGGCTCACCTCTGCCTTCTGTCCACCACGGAAGCTGATCCCGTCAGAGATGCACGATTGGAACTCGGCAATGGTGTAGTACTCCACCTCGACAGAAGGGGGCTCTGGTGGCTTCGGCAGCTGGAACCCCTGAAGTGGAAAGAGAACACTGAGCAAAATCCAGCTAACCAGGGAGGCGACAAGGCCAAGGACCGGTGCCCGTTCCAGCTGGGGGATGTGCGTGTGGCTGTTTGGACCAGCTGGACAGCAGCTGGCCCTGCTGGCATCTGTCCTCGCTTGCAGGGCCGATCCCCAAGAGGCTGCGCTCCTGAGGAGATTCCAGCGGTACCTAGGGTTCACTTGAGACTGGTCTGAGCTGGCAGATGCTGACTCTTAATATTAGAGTTTCTATGCTTCCATCTCTGGAGGGCCAGTTTCCAGATGCCTCAACAGTTGGATCCCAAAATGAAAACGATAAAGCAGAGAAATTCTCTGACAAAATGCATGCACTGCCCCCCCGCCCCCCAGAGGAGCGACTCCCTCCTGAGTTGAAAGGTGAGGGGCTGCAGGTGGGGTGCCTGGCAGCCAGGCGGGGCCTGGGAGCTCACCATCTCTAGGAGGCTGAGGTGGGAGTGCAAGGGGCAGTGGAGTTGGGGAGAAGTCTTCAGCTGCTCATCCTGACAGTGCCAAAAGGTTAGGGAAGCCCCGATGAGAACTCAGGACACTGTCTCCAAGGCAGATAGAACACACTGAGGTCCCAAGTGCCTCTTAGATCCCTGTACAGCAACATCTAAACTCCACAGTCAAGGACACTTTTTATTTTATTTTTGCCCCAGCTCATGGTTCCAGGCTAACGTGGGCCTCATTTGTTCATGCTACTACCATTTGCTAGTGGCTCCCAGGTGCCAGAAGCTGATCTGAGATGCTGGGCATCCAACAGTAACCCCAATGGACAACATGCCCTTGTGGATTCTAGCTTCAGTTAGCCTCCACTGATTAGAATGGGCTTTGGGTGTGTGTGACCTACTTCATACAGAAGGGGTTAAAGCAAACCAACTGGGGGGGAGGGAGGAGGGAAGAGATGAGGAGCAGGAAGCAGCTGTGCTGTGGCAGGAGGCAACTGTTTTCAGTCTCAGGGTAGATCCCCACCACCGCCTCCCTCACTCCCTCCCCCTTTTTCTGTGATTGGAAGACCTAGAAGACTGCTGGGCTCCAGTCCCAGTATTTTACCAGCTGTGTGTGAGGCCCTTGATATCAACTCTCTGAGCCTCAGTTTCCTCATCTACAAAATGGAACTAATAACAGGGTCATTAAGAGACTTACTGAGATATGTAGATAACTTCTAGTCCAGCAAGGGACATAGGAAGAGCTCAAAGACTAAAGGTCAACACCCCTGAAACCCCCATGTCCTAATCCCAATCCTGTCAATCAAAACAGATCTGTTAGCCTAGTGCAGTGGAGCAAGCCTGTAATCCCAGCAGCTCGGGAGGCTAAAGCAGGAGGACTGTGAGTTCAAAGCCAGGCTCAGCAAAAGTGAGGCATTAAGCAACTCCTTGAGACCCTGTCTCTAAATAAAATACAAAATAGGGCTGGGGATGTGGCTCAGTGGCTGAGTGCTTCTGAATTCAGTACCAAAATCAAAACCAAAACCAAACCAAAAAACAAAACAAAACAAACAAAACAGAGCTGTCTTGGAGCACAGTGAATGAGGGTGGGAGGGAGCTGGTTTTCAGGGACTGGGTGTGAATCAGTCAACCCTCCTTGCCCAGTGCCTGGCTCTGTGATCCTGTGCTTCCTGGCCAGGTGAGATTCAGAACCTACCTGGACGGTGGCCCTGTCTCAGCAACCCGGAATTTGGTGTGTGGAAGGAATTAGCCCATTCTCACACAAATTAAGTCTGCCTGAAAATAATTAGCTTGTGTTAAAAGAGATGGGAGGGAAGCAGAATCCATTGTTCAGTTGTAAGCCCATGGGGAAAAGAAAGCCAATAGCTAGGGCAAGGAAGGAACAAAATCTTCCAAGCCCTATATGTACAGAGGTCCCCTCTCTAAGGGCAGATGTCACTGATCACAGTGATTTGCTGCTAAGCCCAGGTGTGACCTTAGCATTTTTTCCCGTACACCAGAAGATTCTACCTCATAGTCAAGTTGATATGGGAAATAGAAATTGCCTGCCAGCCCTATGCATCGCTTCTTATCCTTAGGATAGCCCTAAGAGATAGCTAGGGCTGTACCTATCTTATAAGGAAATTGAGGCCTGAGGAGGATAAGTGACTTGCCTAGGGTCTCTGAAGTAGAGCGCACAGCCATGCCTGGCAGATTGAAGCTCCAATCTGTCCACAGCCCTGATGACAGTTCTTTGTTCCAGGACTCTCAGCTTGCCACCACCATTTGGGTCCCCCAAGACCTAGACTGAATGCACATCTACCTGCTTGAGATGCTGGTCACCAGGAAACCCTACCCATAAGAGCCCGGAACCTAGCAGTGGGGGGGACACTCTAAAAACTTTGGTGTGAGCCTGTCCTTGCAACTCCCCACTCACAGATCTGCCCTCTGCCCTCTCAGGCTCTGACATCCACCAGGCATTCCTGAGCAAGGCAAAGCTGAAAGTCTTCCAGGCAACATGGACAGCAGCCCCATTTCCAGCTCCTGGCAATGCCCTGGTTGGACATTGCTGCCGGCCAGTCTAAATGTTTATGTCTGCCAGTGCAGTGGCTGGGATGGATTTATTTAGCCATGGAGCGCAGTGCATTTCCGATTATAAACAGTCCAGCCAGGCCCCCAGAAAGGCCGGGATCTACAGGCTTCCCTCTGTGCCTCTAGCCCCCCAAAGCTGGAAGCCCCAGAAGAGCCCTGGAAAACCTTTAGGCAGTAGGCTCTGCAGCAAGACAGCCTCTTAATCAGAGCTGCTAGAGAGCAGCCCCAGAAAAGGTTCAAAAAGGGAGTAGAAATTCAGCACACATACCAAGCTGGATTCTCGGCGTGGTGGAGGTCTTGTCCTTAGGTTTGGGGAGCCTAGAAGAAGAGACATGGCTTTAGTAATTCCATTCAGGCAATGGACAACAGCATGTCTATTTTTTGCTCACTCTAAATCCTTAGAGGCTAGCACAGAGCTAGGCAAGAGGGGACACCTAATGACAACTTCCCAGCTGATATCTAAAAGGTTTCATGCACAAGGGCCAACAGAACCAAAGTCAGAGCTCAACTGAAAAAACAGCTTTCTTCCAGCAGCTGGGATTATAGGTGTGCACCACCATGCCCAGCTAAAGGGGATCCTTGGCATAAACTCTGTTGAAACCACTTTGTGGAGAGTGCTAAAGTCACAGCTCATTCTTTCAGGTTTCTAGAAACTGGTGGAAGAGCTGTAATCCTGGAGACTCAGGAGGCTGGGGTAGGAGGATTGCAAGTTGCAATCCAGCAAGGACTTGTCTCAAAATAAATAATAAAAAGGGCTAGGGATGTAGCTCAGTGGTTGCACACCCCTGGTTCCAACCCAGTACTTCCTGGTTAAGTCCCAGGAAGATGTCCTACCATCTCTCACTCCAAACAGAAGCCCTGCAGGTGCTTGACAAAGCAGGGAACTGAGGGCTTTATTTTTAAATCATCTACACATCAACCACTAGGTTCCTAAAATCTTTATTATAGTGTGAAGAAACCACTTCTTTCTCTTGGACTACATTCCTCTGAAGAGTGGCTGTTCCTGGTCTCTAGGGTTGGGGCAATGCTAACAGCCTGCACTCATGTGACTCACTTTCAGAGAGACGGCTGCGAGAGGCACAGCCACACACTCCCCTGCCTTCTCCACTGGTGATGAGAATGGCCTGAGCTGACAGCCTAAGGGCCCAGGATCCCTCCGTCTGTAGCTTAGGTCCCACTCTCTCTTCTGGCCTTCCTTGTACTCTCTGCTCCCACTATAAAGAGCTCTGTGGCCAGGACCTGAAGGTCAGTGATGTGCTTACTGATCTGGGCCCTCTGAGGGGCAATCCTGGCCACAGCTGGAGAGCCCTGGGCCAGTTTGGAGACGGTCCTCTCAGGGACACCGAGGGCACTACCATTGGAAGCATTGCACAGGATGGGCAAGCTTATCTCCTTCTTGGCAATGGGGGCCTCAGAGCCTTCGCCTTCAGTTGGTGGAGTCTCCTTGTCCCCAGATGTCTTCTTGTTTAACAGGTTGCTGATCTCCATGATGTTCCCAATGATCTCCACAGGGCCCGCCAGATTCTTTTTCCGGGTTGGCAGGTCATCCTTGGCCTTCTTTAGGTAGGATGCTGGTGCCCAGCCCTCTTTGCCCAGGTATCTGTGGAGAGGAGTGGGCCACACCATCATTACATCTCTTTCAGGCTCAGGCCCTAGTATCCACCTGGCCTTGCCCAGCTGAGACTTTTCTACCATGTGTTGCTAGAGACTTGGTAATCCCACTGCTCCAAGAGAACCAGAGCTGAGACTTGCTGGGAAAGATGCTCAGAGAACAGCTTCTTTCCTCTAACTCCCTTTGCTTTACCTGGTCCCTCTTGGCATGGGCTCTCATTCCCTGCAAAGTATCAGGTAAAATAAACATGGGACCTTGAGATTAGAGTTCTCCAGTGGTGGGTGCCCAAAGGTGGACTTCACAATAGCTATTCACAATTGAGAATGTTATTCCACAATCATTTGAGGGTAACCCTAGAGATAAGAAATGGAAGATAAGGGATGAGAAAGTGGTGTGTGGAGTTAAACGCCCCCAGGAAAGAAAAGGATTATTAAAGAGGAAAGAGGTATCACAGGGTGAGAGTTCTGGTCTATGGGACCTTGGAAAAGTCTGTTTTCTGGAGCTCAATTTTACTTTTCTGCAAGATGTAGGATCAGAGTAGCTGTTCAAGTGTATCTATAAGGATAGACATACTGAAGAGGTGTGTAAAGAAGACTGACTGACTGGGGAGGGTCTGGGTACTACACAGGGATAGCACATGGGTGAAGTTCACAGAGTAAGTCCGTGAACAGGCTAACGGAACATTTCAAATCAGTGGGGTAGGATGGATTATTCAATAAGTGATTTGAGGACAATGCATTATTCAATTAGGAAAAATAAGTAAGAAAGAATCTGGCCATACAGGGGACAAAAATAAAAAATATTTACATAATTTGGAGGTTTGAGAAAGACTTTCTAAATGGGACTCCAAAAGTAGAAACCATAAATGACAAGAATAAAGCACATGACTGGTAAAATTAAAACCATTGGTATGGCAAAACAAAAACAAAGCCAAACAAACCCAAAAGCTCATAAACAAAAGCAAAAGACAAATGACAGGGCTGACTTCATTCTGGTGATTTGATGACTTCTTAAAAACAAGCTTTTTCCCTTTTCCCCGTGGTGTTGAGTCTTCACCCAAATCCACTGGGGACTCGCTTCCTGGACTGGCAATTGCTGGCCAGTGCCCCCAAGCCTGAGTTGCAATGTCCCTGTCTGCTCCCTGGGACACATCTGGCTCTTTGGAATAGTTCTTCCAGGCCAGATGTCTAACAGCCCTCCTCTCACCCTCTTTTCTTAGGAACTCATTAGGTGGGAGAAGGAACATGGAGATTTGCTGGAGAACACAGGAAGGAGGAGGCTCCTTCCGTCCATAACAGTAATGTGCACAGGTTGTCCCAAGCTCATCTGTCTGGGCTTGGAAAGCAGGCATCAATGAATGAAGGATGGAAGTTGGGGCTGTGATGGCTCTCAGGTGTAATGGTGACTTTCAAAGGTGGAGAGAAGCAACTAGTGAAAGTGCCTAAGCTTCCTATTAGCCAAAGGCCAAGGCAAAGAAAAGCAAAGCAAGGCCTGCTTACAGCCCCAAGTGCCCCCATTTCAGAGTTTGTATGTTATTTAGATAAATCCAGGTTCCAGGCAGGGAAATGCAAGGGCACCAGGAGTGGCTGTGTCTGAGCCCCTTTCTCTCACAGCCATTTCCCAGCTCTGAGCAGGGCAGGCAACAGAGAGGTATGTGTATGTATGTGTGTGTGTGTGTGTGTAGGTGGGGGAGGAGAAAAAAGGACAGGAAATGAGGCTCAACACAGAGCCTGGAATGTTGGGAAATGGCATACTTAAGGGGGTGTCTGGCAGCTTTCTTAAGGTGGAACTGTTATGGCACGGTGTTCTCAGCTGGAACTCCCACTGGCTAATGAGGACAAGGACTAGGCCATGGGAACAAGAGTTGATTAGAAGTAGCTCAGAGTAACTTTGCTGGTCATTTTAGAAAACCAACAAATGAAGCAAAACAAAGCAAAATAGAAAGCAGCCTTGTAGGTCACTTCCAGGCAAGTGAATGAGGCCACTAGCCTGCCAAGACATTTGCTGGCCTTTCCACTTCAGGCTCCTGGCTGCTAAGTCTTTGGCTTGGCTTTAGTTTCTGCTCCTAAACATAAAAGCCAGGGGCAATGACCATGGGCAACACACACCCAGGTACTGTTCATCCCACCTAGCAGGACAAAAAAAGGACACTTCGTTACTCCTGACTGATATACAACAGGGCAAGGACCATGAGGGGAGAGAACCTCCTACCAAGTCACACTAAGGTTTGGATTCTGTGTAGCCAGTGGCCTTCATCCTGTCCTTCAGCTCAGCATAGACTAACTTTTAACACCACCATGTCCTGCCATGTTCTGAGCAACTGTCCTGTGAGTGCTCACATTGCCCTGGTCACAGGGGTGCCATAGCACAACCCTAGCCTCTCTGGGAGAGACCACTAAGTACACATCCTGCCGGTGCAGGGTCTGGGGTTGCTGGGTGTGCTGGGTTGAAGCGGCAATTCTCAGAGCCCACAGATAGGGGGCAGTCTCCCCCAGCCAGGTGGCAGCAGAGGAAAAGCTGGGTCAAGTCCCCATGGCTGAACTTCTCCAAAGGAATCAACAGTGTCTCCTGAGAGCAAGTGCCTTGGAGGGCAGAGGGGGCTAAAGGGCAGGTCTTGGTCTGGTAATGCCGAGTGAAGCCACAGGGTTCTGTTTACTTCCAGTGGGTCAGGAGACTGCCTTCCCCCCCACTCCCTGACCCATACCCCAAATGGATTTCTCAACTGAGAAGTGGGATTAGGTTCTGGGAGAGGGAGGGGGCAGGGGAAGGAGGAACCTCTGATAGCCCAAACTGGGCTTGGGCTCAGACCTTTCTTCCACTCTAGTCTCATGACAGTCTTGCAAAGTGGAACAGCCCTCACAGGCCAGGGACATGGACGTCACAGGCTCACATCTGGAGCCCTGGGTGGTGAGCCATGGCAGCAGAGGCTGTCTGATGGGACTTCAGTAGGGCCTGGGGACACCAGTGCTCCAAACTGCTCTAACTGTGGATCAGACCAGGCAGCCAAGGCTGGACGCAGAAAACCAAATTCAGATGTGCTGAACGCTTGGCAGATGAGCGGGAAGGAACTGCACCATGGCCTGTGGGCCCTGCACTGTGCTGGCTGTGCTCAGCCTTGCTTTCCTGCCCCCAGAGACACTTTGGAAGACCAGTGCTCCCTGGTTGAGCTTTCCAGATGTGCACAGCTGGTACGGGGCTGCTGTCAGTACGTACCCACCAGTGGATGGCCATAGCTACTTTGTACCCAGTTCTGTGGGCCCAGGACAGATGGGCCAGAGGCATCTGGGAGGGGCCAGATGGGCCAGAGGCATCTTGTGGCTCTGTCAAGGGTCCTACCTGATATACCACCAGCCCTCCAAATTCTTCCGGATCACCTCCACAGTGACACCCTTCTCAAAGCCAATCTCGTCCTTGCTTTGGCTGACATAAGGTTGAACGGTGACATACTTCTCTTCTGTGAGTGGGCAGTGGGAGTAAGAGAGCAAGATTATTTGAGGTTGAGGTGCAGGCCCTGCTTCTTGTCCCCTCCTGCCCAGGCCTGGCCTTGCTTAGCTGCTTGCCAAGGTGCTCTGGGTCAGCTCTGGCTTCTCCAGGGAAGGTAGGGACCAGGCCTCAGGAGTAGCAGTGGAAAGGTCATGGGGGCGGGGGTTATTGCGGCACCCAGTGTGTGCCAAAGCCAGCCACGTCCCAGGTTGTTCAGCAAAGCCAGCTCTCCCAGCCTAATAATGGCAAGCAGGATGCTGAGCCTGGAGTTAAGAGGGCCTCAGAAGCTCCCTGGGCTAAAGGCAGAGTTAGAAGGAAACTGCTTTTCAGAAAGTCTCAAGACCCATGCTGGATGTCCCCTGGTGCCTTCAGGACCCTCAGGATACCCCTTCCACAAATGTGCCAGTTTCCATCTGTGTCCCAAATGCCCTCTCCTGGCCCTGCTCCCACCTCAGTCCCTTAAATCCTTCCTCATTCTAAGCCTCAGACAGCTCCAGGGGCACTTCCTTGGTGAAGCCTTCACTAAGTACCTGGCCCTCGACTGACAGCAGGTCATGTAATGTCCCCAGGAGAGTTCCATGGAATGCAAGTCCTATGGGAGTGGCTGTGTTTTGTTAAGATAAAGGTCCTGTGGCAGGCGTGGAGCTGCCAGGTGCCCCACATTCTCCACAGTTCCTGGGTTTGTGTGGCCCCGGCCGTCCGCAAGATCACTGCTCATTCACGTCTACGCTACTCTCATGGGTGTGACTTCAGGGTCTTGCTCAAGGTTTTCCCAAGGCAAGAGAAAGGCACCTTGGGGAACCTCAGGAAGAGCTTGAGGGGACAGGTGTGGGGAGGCTGGGGTGCCAGGCATCCCCTTGGCCCCCTTCAGTCTCCCTCCTGCGGAGGCCCCATGCTCCCTCTACAGCCTTTGTTCAGGTTTCCAGGGAGGTGTTTGCTCCAGGTCTGCTGGGTCCACTCCTCCTGTCCCTGGCAAGACCAGGCAGACTCATAGTTGGCTAGGGAGGACACCCTGCCTCCTAGGTGAGATTCTGCCTAGAGGACAGACAGCTCAAGGCTCACACTTCCCTCCCAGCCTCACTGGGAGAACAAGGGACAGCAGAGGAGAAAAAACTGACCATCTGGCAATGTCCTTGGAAAGTCCTCGGGGGCCTGGGTGCTCCAGAGGTGGAATTGTGCTGGTGCAGCAGGAGCAGGGGGCTGTGGGCCGCTCCCTGAGGAGGAAGGCCAGGCTGGGCGGGGCAGTGGCTTGAGTGGGCAGCCTACAGAGAGCTCGAAATAGGAGGAGCTGGCCTCTAAGAGCCTGCCCCTCCTGGCTCCCAGCTGTGACAACCACCCCCTGGACTCCTTGGCTGGACCCTCAGGCAGCCTGCCTGGGCCTCTAGCGGCTGTGGGGGAGGGGGACAGCTGCCACCCCAGCTCCCTGCTGCAGGAGGGCCATCTGTTCATTCTCCCCTGGATTATCAGGGTTCCTGTCTGCAGCCCTGTGCTGGGCCAAGATAGTGACTCCCTTTGGGGTGGAGGCGGCTGTCCTGCCAGGCTGAAGGATGGAACCGATGGGCCACTGGCCTAATCTGAAAGCCTGCCAAAAAGCAAAGGGTGGGCGACAACCCACGGGAGGCTGTGCCACTCCTCAGCATGCTCTCCACAACTGTAGGTCTTCTTCAGCCCCGACTCAGGGAGGGCCCTGCTCCAGGGGGCTTCAGATTCCACCCCAGACCCTCCCCCCATGAACTGCTGCCAAGCCTGCCTGAGAACCTGCCCAGACAGACTCTGACTCGGGCCTTGGAGCAGCTCCCCACTCTCTGGGCCAACCTTCGCTCTCCTGCCTGCTTCTGGTCCTGCTCCATTTTCCAGTGGGGCACGGTAAACCCTGGCCCAGGCAGCGGCCTGAGGGGCAGCACCAGGCCGGGGAATCCAGGGTCTGAGGTCTGAGGTCTGAGGGAGGCGAGGCCTGCGCTTCATATTTTGTCTTTGTTCGGCAGGGCTATTTTTAAAAGCCTGTGGTTTGAGCAGGAAGCCATCATTAAAGTTTTCCTAGGCAAGGTAACTTTTTGCAGAGAAAAATGACAGTTCTTGCGGGGAAGATCAGAGAAGCCTTGCCCTGCCCCACCACCAAGTACAGGGCCTCGACCATGTAGCGTGGGCTCGCCTTCTGGAGTAGCCAGGCCCTGCTGCTGCAACCTCTTAGGGTGCCTGTGGCAGACAAGCGTCCGCAGGCCATGGAAGCTCCTGTCTTCTCTGACCTCCTGGGATAGGAAGGGGGACAGAACCAGATATCAGTTCTGCCAGCAAAACTGAGTGGGTCCTGCAAAAGGCCCTGTTCTTAGGGGTTCTGGGCTGTGACATGTCCCCCCGGAGTTTATGTGCTCCTTGTAAGACCACTGGCTACCAGTGAGGCTCACCCTGCCCTGGTCGCTGGGCAGGACACTGAGGGAGAATTCAGGTTCCTCGTCCCTGGAGGGGCCAGGCAGTCAGACCAACTCTTCCCACTTGTCTCCATGGGGAATGGCTTTCTGTCCTGGTTGGCTCAGATGGAAGAGGCATGGACTGCCTCCACGTGGACATGTGTCACACGGTCCTCCCAACTCACAGGTGACTTGAGGGACAAGTGGAGACAGATACTCTTATGGACCTGATGTCCAGACAACAGAATACACAGATGGATAGAATCGGCCTCAGTGGGTCCTGAGCGGTTCGGCAGGCCAGGAAGAGCTGGTCCCTGGAAAGCAGCTGAGGGGTGGGAGACTGTGAACTCAGGGACCTTTCAGGGCTCTGGGAAGTGCCAGAACCTGGGATTGTGCCATGTAGGGACGGGGGCACTCCTGTCCTGGTAAGGGCTGGCCATGCGGCTGGCAGGGTGAATGGGCAGGGGGAGGTGGACAGACTGTTCTAGTTTGGGAGGCAGGGGCTGGAAGTCCTGCAGTTTCCAAACCACAGAGGCCTCCTCTTTCCAAACACTTTCCCCTCTGTCAGCAGTCTCTCCAGCTCCCCTCTCGGCCCCCACAACTCCCTCACCCCTCTGTGAGAGAGAGGCCTTTGATTCCAACGGCCTGGCTGGCTGTAGGGACGGGGAGTGGAGCGGGGCCCCGGGGAAGCACTGCTTTCTCTTGTCTAGTTCTTCAATGTCCCCCTCTCCACCCTGCTCCCACCCACTCTGCTGTTTGCAGTGCTGTCCCCAGCCAGCTCTCTGCAGGCCTCTCTTGGCTGCCTGCTTTAACAGAGCAAGGCTGAAATCATGTTGGCTAGGTCTCTTGGCCTCTTATGGGGGGTTGGGTATTTGCTATGTATGGGTGATGCGGAAGTATTCACTTGGTTGTGTAATTGTGTCCAAGTGCATCATCCTGTGAATAGCTGTGACTACACTGCCTGTGAACCCTTGGTATGGGGGTTATGTGTATGTGGACTTGTGGGTGTTGCTGAATGTGATGATGTGATTGACTGTTAGTTGTGTGTACAAGGCCTTGATGACTAAATAATGTTCTTGTGGCATGGTCTATGTGTGGCTGCATAATTGGGATTATATTTGTGCCCTGTGATGGACTGTTGATGGGGAGCTGTGATGGGAAGGAAGGGTTAGATGTGACAAGGTACTGCAGCCGTACTGTGGCCATGGGAGCCGTGCAGGGTGTGTACTGCACCAGCTGTGTGTCCGTGGAGTCAGTCATGTTCGGGGCTTAGTGTGTGGAGTGTGGGGCAGGCCAAACCTTCGTCCCTATGATTCCAGGTCCCTATTCCACTCTCTTTTGCCACCATGGCTGGGGCTGCTTCCCTGCACTGCTGTTCCTCCCTCCAGGTTGAAGGTGGCTTTTGCTTTACATTTGGCCTGGTGCTGTTTTTACAACTCAGCCCTCTGTCCTACATCTGCCCCCAGGCTCCAGCCCTTGTTCCTCCCTGGGGTCAAGCTGGGTTCCTCATGACCAGTGTTCTGAGCCTGATGTTGAGCCAACCACAGGCTGTGGCCACCCAAGGGTCCAGACTTCCTGCTGCCTCAGGCTTGGGGCAGACACCAAAACATGCTCCCACTGTCTTCTGGATACAAGCTTTGAGGGTGGGAGTATGAGCTGGGGCATCCCTGTGTTTCCAAAAGGCCAGTGCTCATTATATGCCCCTCTCAGGGGTGACAAGCTGCTCTCAGCTGTGTCCTCACCCTGAGGAGCACACTCTCTGCTCTCCGTGGGGCAGGAGAAACTGGCCCTCCACCAGTCGGGGGCTCTGCAGATGGTTAGGGGGTGTCCAAAGGCGTGTACCTTCTTCCCTCACCTCCCCAGCTCCTGGTGTTGGGAAAACTCCGACAGAGCAAATGTCTCCCCTCCTCATCAGCCCACGGCCAGGTGAGCAGCCTCCCTGGAATCCTCTTGCTTTAGCCCCTCCTAAAACCCCAGTCTGCTGCTGTTGGTGGGGTCTAACCCCGTACCCCACTGGTCGGGGCTGTGCCCTGGTTCCAGGCTGTGCCTGCCTTCCGCACTTTTCTAGTGGAGCTGGACGAAGGGGGAGGCTTGTGGGCTGGCCCTTCTTTGCACTCAGTTTCCAAGCAGCCACAAGGACGGCTTAGCCAATGGAGCCTTTCTCAGCAGGAGACAATGAAGGATGGAGAAGTGGGGTGCCTTATAGGGATTGAGATCCCCCTGGTCCCTCAAGACTTGTTCCTTTCTTGGGGACCTATAACCGTGTCTGAAGTCCCACGACCCCCATTCCCAGGACACCAGCAAACCAGCACCACCCTTAGTGCCGCCCCAATTCCCAAGCATGGCCCCTTCCCCCCTCCCAGTTGCAGCAAGTGAGAGGAAAGTCTGTCCTGTACATATGGTAAGTCAGGAGGCCACAGGCAGAGGTCAGAGGGCAGAGGGTGGGAAGGAGCAGGTGTTAGTGAGAGACAGCAGCAGTGGGGGGAAGAGAGGCGTGTGCCCGCAGTCACCTCGGCTGTGCTGCCTGTTGACCATCCCGCCCAGGGTCCACCGGCGATCCAGGCGCCGCAGATGGGCCTTGCGTCTCTTGGACACTGGTGTGGGAGATGGTGATGGAGCATGCGGCCAACACGAACCAATGGAGAGAATGGAGATGAGGATGAGATGGGATGGGGGAGGGGAGGAGGAGGGGACAGAGGGAGGGAGGTCTAAGCACGCTTCCAGGTCATCATTACCTAGTCTGAGCCCAGGGTCAAACCTAGCTGGATGAGGGTAGATCTGACAGATGATATTGTTGGCATGTGGGGGAAAAATGCAACCAAACCCAAACCTCTCAGCTTATGCCTCAGAGCCATGGAGAGAACTACAGATTTTAGGATCCTGGCCAGGCATGGTGATGCATGTCTGGAATCCCAGTGACTGGGAAGGCTGAGACAGGAGGACCTCAGCAACTTTAGCAAACCATGTCTTAAAAGAAAATAAAAAAAAAATTAAAAAGCAGAAGAGCTGGGATGTAACTCAGTGGTAAAGTGCCCTGGGTCCAAATTCAGTACCAAAAAGAGTCCCTTACACCAGTCCTTGAGAGGCAGCCCCTCAGCTGCAGCGATGGATCGCTGTTTCCTGGGAAGGCTGATTCAGAGGGCTTGTGTCCAAAAGCACCTGGGTTGACATCAACAAGTATGATTGTGAGCTTGCCATCATGGGCCCCGCAGCATGTTGAGAGGGATGAGTGTGCCTAGGAGAGACCTGGGGTCCCTTCCTGGCAGGCTTTGCACTTTCCGGCTTATGTCATTGCTTTCGCACTTGTCCCATTAGATGGTGTCTATTGAGGATGACAACTTTGCCTTTTTTTTTTTTTTTTGGTGCTAGGGATTGAACCCAGGGGGCATTCAACCACTGAACTACAGCCCCAGCTCTTTTTATTTTTTTATTTTGAGACAGGGTCCCATCAAGTTGCTTAGGGCCTTGCCAAGCTGCTGAAGCTGGTTTGAACTCGTATCCTCCTGCCTCAGCCTTCAGAGCTGCTGGGATTACAGAAGTGTGCTAGAGCACCAGACAGGACTTTGCCTATTGTCTGTGCATTCCCAGAGCCTAGCACAGCGCCTCTGGCCTAGGAAAAGTTTGCTGAATGAAATGCACAGGGACAAATGCCGCAGCCCTGGCTCTGCTCCTTCATGTCATCCATTTGGGTCTTTGACAACAGAGACTGAGTTTCCCCAGTTTCTCACTGCTTGAGATCCCTCTGCCAGGGCTGCTCTCTGCGCAGACTGTGCACCGGTCCTCTAGTTATTATGGCTGGGTTTTGAGCCCCCATGCACCCCTGTGCTCAGGTCCAAGTTCTAGATGCCCCTACCTTCCTATGGTACTCCCAAGGGGAATGGATACTGAACCAGGACTCCTGGGTGCTAGCCGGCCCTACCTCCTGCACTGCAGAAGGAGGCCATCAGGTTGCCTGGGGCCAGGGGAGGGAGGGAGGCCAGTGGTTAGAATGAAAGAAAAACTGCCCAAACCCCTGCAAGGCCTTCTGGGATGTATTTGCTCTCCCTGGGAGGAATCTGATCTGCCTTTAAGTAGAGGTCTGGGGAAAAGGCGAGGAGGTCTGGATTCCAATTCAGACTCCACCACCTGTGACACTCTGTGAGGCCTTCCATCCCTCTCTAAGCCTCTGTTTCCTCACCTGTCATAGGGTGACACCTCCTGGTCTGGCAGGGGCCAAGCAAGGTCTTAAGGAGCTCTGGGGACATTAATCAGGTCCTGTGTAAGGTTTTTCAGATGGGGTGGCGTGAGGGAGTTGGGCCTCTCTGGGTGGCAGAGGGGCTTAGCTGATGTCTGGACCTGGGGCCACTTTTATGGTAGCTGACATTTACTCCCGGCAAGCCAGACCCAGTCTAAACCACTCACAGATCATCTCACTCAAGCCTCACAGAAGCCTTGTGTGGTTAGCACAAGCCCCATCACACAAGTGGGGAAGCAAAGGTCCAGGGGTGCTAAATTACACGTCTACCACCTAGCTGCAGAGCTGTGGACACACCACAGTGGCTGGGCCTGGGGCTTGGAATACCCAGCCCTGAGCCCTTCTGTGGTATGCCCGAGATGTGATGGTGGAATCCAGAGCTGTCTATGTGTGGCCAGGTGTTGGCACACAGGTCCTACCAGAAGCAAGTAGAAAAGGGGCACTCTGGGTGCACATGTACACACACACACCCCTGAACGCAGAACTTGCACTGATTGCTGTCTGATTCTTACTCTATCAAGATCAAAATCCTCAACAAACTGCCACCACCTATTCTATGCGAAGCACCTGTGCCTTGTTCCGGCCAGGCTGGCATCACGCTCCCAGGCCCGCCAGGCTCCTTCCCACCTGGGCTTTTGCTCACTCCACCATATACACTCCGACTCTGCCCTTGCTGGTGCAGCCTTCTTAACCACACACTCTCCTGGAGTTGGGCCTAGAGTAGCCTCCCTGCCAAGGAGCTGATGGTTCACTGAGAGGCATGTGGCACAACGGTGAGGCCCAAGAGGGCCCAAACCTGAAGAGAGGCAGAACAGCAAGAGTGTCCTCCCAGGGTGGTGGCAAGGGCAACGAAAGCCTCTGATCTATCACCTGGGCCCCTGTGAGCCATTGTTATCGAGAGGCAGTGGCATGCCTCCCAGGATGCAGAACTAGGTAGGAAGTGGGGACTGCGGAGCACAAACTAGACAGACCACCTCAAGGCCAGGGCCTTCCACTGCTCCAGAGGACCAGTGGGGGAGGATGCAGGCTCAGTCCCTCGGCTCAGGGAGTAGCTCAGCCTGAAACTCGCACCCTCCCTGATGGGGCCTGTTCCCTGAGGCCTGTCCAAGGTGGCTGTGCATTGAAAAGGCCAAGCTCTGATCAGTGTGACACAGGAAGAAGGGTGGGGCCCAACCGCCAACCGACTAACTGACATTTAGGGATGGGAGGAACAAGGGGCTGGTGCTGGGGGAGCTGCTTATTTTGGCCTGGGCAGCAGGGAGGTGGGCGCGGGAGGAGCAGGCCTAGAGGTGGCTGAGCCACGGGTGGCAGGCCTAATCCCTCTGGCTCTCAGACACATCCTTCTGGATCATTCCCACAGTTGGTTAAGGAAAGACTGGCCGTTTCCAGGCCACAGGAGGTTTGGAAGGCTCTAGGAGCAGGCAGCAGGGAACTGGGGGTGGCTCAAAAGTCCTGGGCTTCGGCAGGCAGCCCGCTCTGGGGAATACCGAGTCCACAGTCAGGCTGCCAAGGCCAGCGATGGCCTGAGGGCAGAGGCAGGCTCCTTGAAACGCAAGGAGAAAGACCCAGAAAAACCTCAAGGAGCCAGAGCTAATCAGAGAGGCCCAGTGAGAGGCCTGAGCCTCCTCTGGGATCTGGGAAATGGTTCACGGACCTGCCTGAGCCTGTGTCATGGGCCAGGCTGGTGGCCACCCAGGCAGGACACACACATACACACCCAGTCTCTTGTGGTCATCCTTGTTGCAGGAAGCCCAGCGTGGGGCTGGGACCATAGGCCAAGTCTTTGTGGGGTCCTTGAGAGGTGTCCAGGGCTTATATAGACAGGGAGTTTTCTGGGGGTTTCTAGCTCTAAGACTATTCTTCCCAGTCTCTGTCCCAAAGTTGCCAAAGCCTGGGGTCCACACACCAAGGGAATTTCCCCTGTGTCCTCTGCCCCATGTGGGGCCAGCCAGAACAGGCCTGGGGAGGTGCACTTGTGGGCTGGTTTCTATACAGTGGAAGGGGCTTGGGTGTGGCCCCACTTACTTCAGTGGTTCAGGTGGTTTTAGGGAAAGAGCCTCCCGTCTCCGGTAAGGGCTGACCCCAAAGGCAGCTGGCCATGTGTGCCAACCTCTAAGCTCCCTCCCAAGAACCTGCAAGCCCTTACCTTCCCCGGTCTTGGAGGTGTTGATGTCTGAGTCATCCCGGGTCCCATTCTGGGCCTCTAGGTAGGTGGCAGGGACCCAGCCCTGCTCCTCGGAGGTGCTAACAAACCACCATCCTGTAGAGGGGACAAGAAAGAACAGGCCATGAGAACCTTCTCAGGGTGGTGGAGGTGGGGCAGGGATGCAGAGGGAAGGAGTGGCCAGAGGGCAGGGCACAGGGCCAGATGGCCTGGGCACCAGGCAAAGGCCTTTCCCTTGGCCAGCCTTGAGGGGCCTGGGTTTCATCTAAGGCAGAAAAGACCTACACACTCCCTGAGATGACCAAACAAACTGCCATCCATTCCTATACATTTGATGAAGGAAAAAAAAAAATCCAAAGATGAAATAGAAATAATGATGTCCTACATGAGAAATGCACCTTGCAGGAAAGGCCAAGTGAGCTCTGTCCCTGCACAGAAGACTCAGGGTCTTTCAACCCACTATGACCATGAGAAGGGCGGAGGTTGGTGCCTCCTCTGCTTTCAGAGGCAGCGAGGCAGACCGCCTCACACCTTTCTAGCACAGGTCGGCAGTACTGTCACCTCAGTGCCACTCCCAGCTGCTCTTGGATGGTGTGGCCATTTCAATCACAGTAAATGAGTGTTATAGCCTCAGGTGACCCCTGACAACTGCAGCCACACATGAAGGCTCGGCGGGTTATTTCTGGCATCCTGGTCCTAAGGAGCCAACAGCTCAGAGAACTAAACCAGCCCTCTCTACAGAGGATGAACTGAGACCCCAGAAGGGCCTCTGAGCCAAATAGACCTGGGCCTCAATGGGCTTTGCAGAGCTGCAAGCAGAGTACAGAACTCTCCAGAAAGGGCGGGCAGCAGAGGGCCTCTGAGCCTAGGCCTGTTTGGTTCAGAGGCCTCAGCTGGGTCAAATACTATGACCCAGGGCCCCTGATGGCCACCTAGCATGAGCCACAGAGAGTCTATCTCTGCCTGGGGTGAAAGACAGGGAGCAGTAGGGTACCTACCTAAAAAACCCAGGTCCTGCCCTCTGCTCCCTGGGCCCATCTTCCACCTCAGGCCTGGCCAACCCCAGTGACCAAGGCCTTCCCTTGACATAATCCATATAAGCCTGAGAAAAGCAGCCTGGCCCACCAAGTCACAAACCTTCAGTCAGGAAGAACTGGGGACACACTCCTGCTGCTGGAAGAACTGAAACCTTAGGTCTAACTTCCTTTCCTTCTTGCTCTGGCTCCAAACTCCCATCTCCCAGGATGGCTCACTTGGACTGCCCATGCCTAAGCCACCTCTTGCTATGCTCACTTTGCAAACAGGTACGTAGGTGATGAGGAACTGTGGCAGAGAGACTGTGAGCCTTGACTGGTCCCTGAGCATGTGGGCCCTAAACCCTATTCTGTGCCACTGCTGCAGGACCCGGGGGGGTTTTTTTTTTACACTGTGCCCCAGGGGCTGTGAGTTTTTGTGCCCGGGGTCTCTCCAGGGTCTCCACGAGGGTGTGTTCTGTGGGGTGTTGTTTTTTTGTTTTTCGGGGAAAAGGGGGGTTTTGTTTTTTTTTTTTTTTTGTTTAACTGTATTGGAGATTTACCACTGAGATGCTTTACCACTGAGCTATATTCCCAGCCCTCATTTTTTATTCTGAAACAGGGTCTTTGTAAGTTGTTCAGGCTGGCCTTAAACCTGCAATCCTCCTGCCCCAGCCTCCAGTCACTGGGATTACAGATGTGTGCTATTGTGCCTGGTGAGGCTTAACTTCTTAAGAGGGATCAGCTGAAGTCATTGAGCAACTTGTGGGGACAGGCAGGTACTGGCATCTACTCTTGGGGCCAGGGCAGCAGCCACAAGGCAGTTCAGAGTCTAGTGGAACACTCCCCTGACATCCACTGGCATTTCCCAACTTTGGGTCTGAGGATGGTTATAAGGGTACTAGACACTTGCACTCACTCAACTTCTGGTGAAGTGACTGGTTCCAGGAAGCTGATACTCCTGGGAGCTGATAGCTCAGATTGTGTGTTAAGCACCCTCAGAACCTGCTAAAGGGAGATGGATGCTCACTTTGGGGTCCAGACCACGCTAGAAGAGGTGGTCCTTGGCCCTGGGGAGCCCCTGCCCAACATATAGGTTAACAAAAGAGGCCAATCTGACACTCTGAGGGAGGAAGGCTGACAGGTCCACCATTCATTGACATGGTGGGAAGGGTTTTATTGTCCACGTCTTTTGAACCAGGAAGACCTTGAGTCCCACAAGCTGCTCAAGAAGTGCTAGAGGATCTGTCTCCAGAATGATGTCCAAGGAGGTCTTTGTCCACTCTTTGCAGTGTTGGGCAGCAGGAGGCAGAGGAAAGCAGGAGCAGCCAGATTGGGGGGGGGGCACTTTAGGCACTCTGACCCAAGGCTCTGGGTGCACGTGGAACTCCCCTCTTGGCACAATTGAGGTTGGTAAAGAGCTGTGTCTTGCTTGAATGGGATGGGAGTGGCCACCTTTGTCTTACCCACAGCCACCTGCACATTTTGACCCTATTAGGCGAGGGAGGGCTGCTTGGAGCAGCACCACCCATCCTCTGGATGCCCAGGCCACAATGGCTTGGATGCTCAGAAGCTGTGGCTGACTGGGCCCCAAAGCAGCCAGAGGGTGTTGCCTTTTCAGGGGACCCTGGGTGGGATATCTGCCTCTCAGTCTCTAGGGTAGCACTCTCAGGAATCCCATCAGTCTCTGCCAGGAAGCCCCAGTCCCAGCAGTTCCTCTACGACCCTGGCTGAAGGTCATGGAGCAAGGTTCCTCCATCTCACTGGGTTGGCATCACTTGACCTTGCCTCCTTAACCACTGAAGTGGGCACAGCTGGCCAACTGGGTCTGTCTCTCTTTTTTTCCATAGCTTGAACCAAGGGGCGCTCAACCACTGAGCCACATCCCCAGCTCTTTTTTATATTTTATTTAGAGAAAGTGTTCTTCACTTTTACTGAGGCTGGCTTTGAACAAATGATCCTCCTGCCTCAGCCTCCTGAGCTGCTGGAATTACAGGCATGTGCCATCCCACCCAGCTGGCCAGCCATCTCAATTGGTTTATCGTCTCTCCAAACACTGTGATAGTTCAGGGGTAGATCTGTGACCCAAGCAGGGCTATTCAGGGGCTGTTCTTAGAGCTGACAATGGCGCTTTGATGATCTGAATCCTGAGTCCCACACAAGCAGGAATCACAGGGGCACGTAGGAAGAGAAGGCCTGAGAGTCAAGTCAATAAAGCAGCAGGTTTGTCATGAGAAGGAGGACAAGCTAGTCCTGAGGACATCTTCTACCTGGGAGTCTGGTGTACCAAAACTAGACCAGCCTGCTGGACTTCCTCATTCAATAAGCCAAGGAACTGTTCATTGACCTGGAGGTCCACGGAAGAGGGCAATTGATGAGTTGACCTGGAGCTGGGTCTCAGTCATTTGAATAGAGAAAGCCCTCACTAATCACCATCACAATCTCCAAGCATCGAATGAGCCCAGTCTGAAGAACCAAAGTCATCTGTCACCATAGACCTCAGCAGGTGGGCACTGAATCCTCCAAGCCACTCCAGGCAAGGTGCCACTGCCCCAAATCCTGCTCACCAGGATGATCCCCAAGACCCCAAAAGAGCAGTCACCAACTTTGGTCACTTTCAGAGGCTCTTGAAAGCCAAGGCTTACACATGACTTCCCAGGACCAGGGTCTAATTCCAAGAGCACAGTTGTGGCTCTCCCATTTCATCCAGATCCTTCCGAGCAGACCTCCTAAGGCCTACCCTCTAAGCCAAGCCGTGTCCAGTAGCCAAGGAAGTGCCTGGAAGGCCTGGCTTCAGATGGGAGCCCTTCTTCCAGAGAGAGGGTTTCCCCAGAACAGACTTGGGCAGGGGCCAGGGATTTTATTGTCATTGGATGAAATGAGATGTGCTTTGAGGAACAGCATAGCTCAGGAGCACGCCTCTGGTTAGGGACTTGCCAAGATCACTTCATGACCAACCTCTTTTTCTACACCAAGGTGTCCCTGCCAATACCATGCTCTCAAACAACCCCCCTTCTCCCTGTTCATCCACACTGGGAGACTACTTCTTCCCTTTTCTTGGGTGAATCTAAGGTCCCAGATAAGCAGGTGTCTTGGTGGTCTCGTGGCTGGCTGTCTTCTAAACCTTCTCTCTGCTTCTAGAACTTGGGACCCAAAGTAATCCTCAGCAGAAGGAGGCAACCCCCCTTCTATGGATGCAGAAGGGAGACAACATTCCCTCTGCCTGTGACTGTGAGTCCTGGAACCTCTGCTTTCCTGGGGGGGTTTTCTTCATCAGTCTCATCCAACTGGTCTGTATCCTGAAAAGTTGGGAAGCAAGTCCCAGAGCTGCTGCCCTCTTGCATGGGCCTTTCTCTTTGTCTCAAGTGCCCTGTGATCCTAGGACTCAGGTCTTTTCTCTGTTGGAAGCATCATGTCTTCTCCCCCTTATTCCATTCCTGGGAGCCCTTCCATATACATGCTGCTCTTTCCCATTCCCAGGAGCCAGGGACGCGGGTGGAGGGTTGATCTGCACCCATGAGCACCAGGGGCACTCCCAGGGCAGGGCAGGACAGGGCAAGGCAGAGCAGGCCAGTTCTTCCTTCTACCTCTGCTGCATAGGCCTCAGCACATGGGAGGACTGGATAAGGACTTATGAGGGGCTGAATGGATGACAGAGGTGCCCAGTGGGCAAAGCATCACCACAATTGGTACTTGACACTGTCTCTGGATGTCCCACGGATGTGCTCTGCTGTCTGAATCCTAGCCTTTCTAACATCTCTGTTGTTCTAGAAGCTTCTGGGACAACTAGGCACATTGCCTGTTGACTATGAACATCTCTCCCCAGGACAGTAACTTAGGATCCTATTCTGCTGTGGCCCTAGGACCTGGGGCTAACACTGTCACTCCCCCCCAGCCTGATGCCCCAGATAATCTTGCCTGAGAACACTGGCCTAGGTTCCACTCCAGCCCAACACTTGCAGAGTGTGCTGGGTGGCTTCTGACTCAGGCTCCTCCTGAATCAGGCTCTGAGGAGGAGACAATGGCTACAGAAAAGAGACTGCCGTGGGCTTGGCTGTGGGCATCTCTGCTGAGCCAAGATGG